CATATTTTTCAAATTTTCGTCTTTTTAAAATTTTTTATTTTTCAATTTTTTATTCGAAGCATGGTAAATCGTTAATAAAAATTTGTCCATTTATACGATTTTTGAGGTTTTCGATTTCTCAATTTTTCGTTGTTTCAGTTCTAGGATATTTCAGTTTTTCGATTCTTTAATTTTTTCGATTCATCGATTTATCAATTTTTCAATATTTTAGTTTTGGAATTTTCCAATTTCTCAATTTACTGGTATTTCAGTTTTACGATTTTTCAATTTTTGGCCGTTCTAAATTTTCGGTTTTCAATGTTTCGGTTAATGGATTTTTTAACTTTGATTTCTCGATTTTCTGATTGTCCCAATGCTGGATCTTTCAGATTTTTAATTTTTTCAATTTTTCGATTTTTAAATTTTCAAATTTTGATTTTTCAATTTTTCGATATTTTTATTTTTCGGTTTTTTAAATTTTAGAATTTTGAATTCTTTAATTGTGCTATTTTCAAATTTTTAAATCTTAGATTTTTCAATGTTTTGATTTCTCGATCTTTCGGTTATAGATTTTCCCGTTTTTCAATTTTCCGATTTTTTAAAATTTTCATTTTATTGGCGATCAAAATTTGTCCGCTTGTGCGATTTTTCAGATTTTCGATTTCTCAATTTTTCGTTGTTTGAGTTTTAGGATTTTTCAATTTTTTTCGATTCATAGATTTATCAATTTTTCAATATTTTAGTTTAGGGATTTTTCAGTTTTTCGCTGCTGTAATTTTTCGGTTCTCAAATTTTCGATTCCTCAACTCTAAATTTTCGATTTTTCAATATTTCGGTTAATCGATTTTTTAATTTTTTTCAATTTTTCGATTTTTAAATTTTACAATTTTTGATTCTTCAGTTGTGCTGTTTTCCAATTTTTCAAATTTTTAAGTCATAGATTTTCCTGGTTTTTTTTCGATTCATCGATTTATCAATTTTTCAATATTCTAGTTTTGGGATTTTTCAATTTTTGGCCGTCCTAAATTTTCGGTTTTCAATGTTTCGGCTAATCGATTTTTTTATTTTCCCAATTTTGGATTTATCAGGTTTTTGATTTTTAATTTTTTTAATTTTCGGTAATTGATTTTTCAATTTTTCGATATTTTTATTTTTCGGTTTTTTAAATTTAGATCTTTGGATTCTTTCTTCTGTTTTAAAATTTTTAAATCATAGAATGTTTTGATGCTTTTCGATTTTCGATTCCTCAATTTCTTTGGATTCATCGATTTATCAATTTTTCAGTATTTTAGTTTTGGTATTTTTCAATTTTTCGCATCTTTAATTTCTCGGTTTTCAAATTTTCTATTCCTCAGTTTTTTATCTTTCAATTTTTCAATTTTTTGCCTTTCTAAATTTTTGAATTTTTCGAATTTTTTGATTTTCGCATTTGTCAGGTTTTTGATTTTTAATTTTTTTCATTTTCGGTTATTCGACTTTTCGATTTCTCGATTTTTAATTTTTCCAATTTATCGATTTTTAAATTTTATAATTTTCAATACTTCAGTTATGTTATTTTCCAATTTATCAAATTTTTTAAACTTAGATTTTTCAATGTTTCGATGTTTTGCTTTCTCGATCTTTCCGCTATAGATTTTCCTGTTATTCAAATTCTCGAATCTTTTATTTTTCAATTTAAGCATGGTAGATCGTTAATCAAAATTTGTCCGTTTATGCAATTCTTCAGGTTTTTGGTTTTTTACATTTTCGATTTTTCGATTTCTCAATTTTTCGTTGTTTCAGTTCTAGGATTTTTCAATATTTTAGTTTGGGAATTTTTTTCAATTTTTCCCTTCTCTAAATTTTCGGTTTTCAAATTTCCTCAATTTTTTATTTTTCGATTTTTTCATTTTTGGCCTTTCTAAATTTTCGAATATTCGGTGTTTCAGTTATTCGATTTTTTTAACTTTTTGATTTTTCGATTTTTTTCATTCTCCAATTTCTCGATTTTTCAGGTTTTTGATTCTAAAATGTTTTAATTTTCGGTTATTCAACTTTTTGTTTTCTCGATTTTTTATTTTTTAAATTTTTCGATTTTAAAATTTTCATGTTTAGAATTTTCGATTCCTCAGTTGCGCTGTTACAATTTTTTAAGTTTTTAAATCTTAGATATTTGCAATGTTTTGATGTTTTGATTTCTCGATCTTTCGGTTATAGATTTTTCCGTTTTTCAATTTTTCAATTTTTAAAATTTTGTATTTTCCGATTTTCCGATAGTAAACCGTTAATCAAAAGTTGTCCGTTTGTGCGATGTTTCCGGTTTTTAATTGTTTAAATTTTCGATTTATTGATTTCTCGATTTTTCGATTTTTCACTTTTTTTCAATTCATGGATTTATCAATTTTTCAATATCTTCGTTTTGGGATTTTTCAATTTCCCAATTTGCCGGTATTTCAGTTTTACGGTTTTCGAATTTTTAACTTTGATTTCTCGATTTTTCAGATTTTTGGTTTTTAAATTTTTAGAATTTTCGATTCTCCAATTGTTCCTCAAATTTTTAAATCTTAAATTTTGCAATGTTTTGATGTTTTGATTTCTCGATCTTTTGGTTATAGATTTTCCCATTTTTGAATTTTCCGATGTTTAAATTTTTTTGTTTTTCGATTTTTTATTCATTTATTGGAATCATGGTAAATCGTTAAACAAAATTTGTCCGTTCAGTTCTGGGATTATTCAATTTTTCGATTCTCAATTTCTTTCGATTCATCGATTATCAATTTTTCAGTATTTTAGTTTTGGGATTTTTAATTTCTCGGTTTTCAAATTTTCGAGTTCTCAGTTTTTAATTTTTCAATTTTTCGATTCTTTAATTTTTCAACATTTTAGTTTTAGGATTTTTCAATTTCTCAATTTACGGGTATTTCAGTTTTACGATTTTTGAATTTTTCGATTTTTAAATTTTTGGCCGTTCTAAGTTTTCGATTTTCAATGTTTCGGTTAACCGCTTTTAACTTTGATTTATCGATTTTTCGATTTTTTCATTTTCCCAATTCTCGATTTTTCAGATTTTTGGTTTTTAATTTTCTGTTATTCGACTTTTCGATTTCTCGATTTTTAATTTTTTCACTTTTTCGATTTTTAAATTTTCCATTTTTGATTTTCCAATTTTTCCATATTTTCATTTTTTGGTTTTTTAAATTTTAGAATTTTACATTCTTCAGTTGTGGTCCTTCTTCAATTTTTCAGATTTTTAAATCTTAGATTTTTCAATGTTTTGATGTTTTGCTTTCCCTGTTTTTCAATCCGCTTTTTCGGTTTTTTATTTTTCGATTTTTAATTGGAAGCATGGTAAATCGTTAATCAAAATTTGTGCGATTTCTCAATTTTTCGTTGTTTCAGTTCTGGGATTTTTCAATTTACCGGTATTTCAGTTTTACGATTTTTGAAATTTTCGATTTTCATTGTTTCGTTTAATCGATTTTTTTGTTTTCCCATTTCTCGATTTTTCAGGTTTTTGATTTTTTTTTTAATTTTCGGTCATTCGTCTTCTCGATTTCTCTAATTTTTTTATTTTTGTTTTTCAATTTTTCGATTTTTAATTTTTTTATTTTTCGGGTATTGTAAATCGTTAATCCAAATTTGACCGTTTACACGATTTTTCAGGTTTTTAATTTTTTAAATTTTCGTTTTTTCGATTTCTCATTTTTTCGTTATTTAAGTACTAGGATTTTTCAATTTTTCGATTCTTCAATTTTTTCGATTCAGCGATTTACCAATTTTTCAATATTTTATTTTAGGGTTTTTTCAATTTTTCGCTGCATTAACTTGTTGGTTTTAAAATTTTCGATTCCTCGATTTTTTATTTTTCCAATTTCTCAATTTTTGGGTATTCCTGTTTTATGGTTTTTCAATTTTTCAATTCTTGGCTTTTCTAAATTTTCGACTTTTCAATGTTTCAATAAATCGTTTTTTTTTTAATTTTTAATTTCTCGATTTTTCGACTTTGTTTTTTTTACTTTTTCCACTTTTTAAATTTTAGATGTTTCGATTTCTCAATTTTTATTCTTCGATTTTACTATTTTTCATTTTTTAAAATTGTAGATGAATTTTCAGTGTTTTGATATTTTGATTTCTCGATCTTTCGTTTTAGATTTTTGTGGTTTTCAATTTTTCATTTTTTTTTATTTATGTATTTTTTTAAATTAGAAAATGTACAAGAAGATCTAATACGATGCATAAATAAATTTGCGTTTGAAGAACGAAATTTTACTAAAATAATGTCTTGTCAAAAAAATTTTATGGTAGATGAGGCACATTTTGGAAACTTGTTTAACGTATAACAAGCATATTTTGTGCATATTCCAAGTAGTTTTTTTTTATTTCCGGATCATTTGTATTCTTATCGAGTCCATGGGGAGACTTGCCACTAAAATAAAATTCCTGCACTTGTGGTTCATTAATCCGTGTTGAATTTTCACACTGGACTTCCAGATTTTTGAAAAAAAAAAAAAATCAAAATTGTAAAACAAATTTTGCAATTTAACTTTGATACTGCAAAACCGAATGCTCTGAAATTTTGGAAACGTTTTAAGGTTGTGTAATCAGGCTAAATCGTTAATCAAAATTTATTCGTTTATCCTTTCCCAAAAAATTGATGACGTCATCTCAAAATTTTTGCAAATCCTCTCTGAAATATGTAAAATATTATGACTATATTTGTGGTTTTTAGAATTACAATTCGTTCACCAAAAATTCTGAAAGCATATTCAAATTTTGTCGTGTACAGTGAGCTGTTGCTCCATCTTGTTGAAAGTAGCCTTTTTCAAGGTCGTGTCAGTCAAAATATCTTGCTGACATCGATCTGTATATAAATTTTACTCAAACTAACCCAAACACTTAAGTTTTTGAGGATGAAGTGGGGCTTCAATAAAGAAATTTAGAGGTTTTTTTAATCACTCGTTATTTATAAATGATTAAAATTGTAGAACAAAAACACAATTTAACCTAGAAATGATATATGTTTAATTGTTTATTCTTCACAGATAACGGTGACGTGCCTCCTGGCCCACCTTTACCTCTCAATAGCACAGAAAGTCCAACATCCTCATCAACACCCAGCACCTCCACCTCCAGTACCACAGCGAAACCCACAACCACTTCTACTACTCCAACAACAACCACCACCACCACAACCACAACCACCACCCCCAAACCCACCACCACTACCACCAAATCCACGACCACCTCTACCACCCCCAAACCCACCACCTCCACCACTAAACCCACAACCACGTCCACCGCTAAACCCACAACCCCGGCCCCGGTGAACCCAGTCGGTAAATGGGTCGTCAACGACACCACAACTAAGAAGACCTGCCTCATTCTGGAAGCCGAACTCAACATCGACCTCTACTACAAAGTCGGCAACGCCACCAAGAACATAACAGTCCAGGTGCCATCGACCGCGGACGCCAGCGGCCTCTGCGGGAACCTCACCGAAAACATAACCCTCTCGTTGGGTATTCCCAATGCCGTCAATTTCAACTTCAAAAAGAACAACGATACGAAGAAGTACGACGTGGAGACGGTGATCGTGATGTTGAACGTGACCCTGCCGGGAGACAAAGGTAAGGAGGGATGGGTTGAGAGGGAGCTGGGTTTTATTGGTGGGTGTGTTGTGCAGATAGCCGAATTTTCACGTTTTCACATAATAAGAAGGAATTTTCGACGCCGGTGAGCAATTCGTACAAGTGTGCTAAGGAGCAGAAGTTGAATATGACGGCTTCTGGGGCGGAACAGGACTATTATGGGATGCTGCGAGTGAGTCACCTCCAGGTTCAGGCGTTCCGGGATTCGAACAGTACGAAATTTGACGAGGGTGAGTAGGGAAAGGAAAAGGGACGTCATTGGGCAAGGTTTAGTTTTCGTGATAAAAAGATACCAAAAAGTGTCTTCATTTTAAAAAAAGAAAATAATTTTTAGTGTTTCCAAAAAAAATTTATTAGACGTGATTTCTTTGCTAAACATCGAAGAATTGAGACCGAAAGTAAATTTTAGAGGTCGAAATGTACAAAAATATCTTTCGGTAAGTTTCGAAGGCGCTCGAAAAGTTCCAAAATTTTCGGTATTGAAAAATTTTGGTTTTGGAAAAATCGTCCGAAAATCCTTTTAAAAAATTCTGAGACATAGAATTCGACGTGCTGATTCCAAAAATATAGCGTTTTATGCTCACGGAGCAAGATTTGGGAAATACTCGAGTTGAAACGCAATTTTTTTTTAAATCCAAAAAAAAAAAATTGGTCTAAAGAGTTTAGACAGTACTTCCCTCGCTGTCGGAAACGTGACGACTGCATGCCTATTATGTTTTTTTTTCGCAGTGGATTTCAAAGAATTCGGTTTTGTAGTTCCTGATTAAATCAATAAAATATATTTACGCATTCATTAATTTTTTTGAGTCACTCTGTATATGCAAATCCAAAAAATATAAATGGAGTGATAAATGACAAGTACAGACTCATCATATTTTGTACATTTTAGATATGATTTATTCGGCAAACTTTCGAGCTGACGTCATCAAGTTTTTGGAGGGGATAAGCAAATATATTTTGACTAGACATTTATTATGCTCTTTATGACCTTAAAACATCTGCAAGATTTCAGAGCATTCGGTTTTGTAGTTCCTGATTAAATCAATAAAATATATTTACGCATTCATTAATTTTTTTGAGTCACCCTGTATATGCAAATCCAAAAAATATGAATGGAGTGATAAATTACAAGTACAGACTCATCATATTTTTACAGTTTAGATAGGATTTATTCGGCAAACTTTCGAGCTGACGTCATCAATTTTTTGGAGGGGATAAGCAAATATATTTTGACTAAACATTTATTATGCTCTTTAGAACCTTAAAACATCTGCAAGATTTCAAAGCATTCGGTTTTGTAGTTTCTGAGTAAATCAGTAAAATAAATTTACGCATTCATTAATTTTTTTGAGTCACCCTGTATATGCAAATCCAAAAAATATGAATGGAGTGATAGATCACAAGTACAGACTCATCATATTTTGTACATTTTAGATATGATTTATTCCACAAACTTTTGAGCTGACGTCATCAAGTTTTTGGAGGGGATAAGCAAATATTTTTTGACTAAAGATTTATGATGCTCTTTATAGCCTTAAAACATCTGCAACATTTCAAAGCATTCTGGTTAGCAGATTAAAAATTAAATTTCAAAATGTTGTTTTATAATTTTGATTTTTTTTCCAAAAATCTGGACGTTTCGGGTGAAAAGTCGATTCGGAGTTGTAAACTACATGTGTAGGACTATGTTATTTTATACAATTGAAAACCCATTTACTATGTACAATTTTGAAGTGACGTCATCGCATTAGTGGTGGGGATGATTAGACAAATTTTGGTTAGCGTTTTACCATCTACATGATATTCTTAATATAAGTACAAAATTTCACAACAATCGGTCGAGTACTTTCGGAGATTATCTGTCTAATAAAAATCCGGGACAACAGACGGACAGACGGACAGACGGACGGACAGACGGACAGACGGACAGACGGACGGACAGACGGACAGACGGACAGACAGACGGAAATGGGAGACCTATTTCTTCGTCTTCTAGGGGTCATGAAAGATCGAGAAAACGTAAAAGTAGAGAGTCGGCCGACGGACTCGATTACAATACTTCCTTTGCTTACGCTCGGGAAGTAAAAAACATTTAAATGGACAATTCTGGAAAAACTGTAGGAGTTATGGAAGAATTGAGACCGAAAGTAAATTCCAGAGGTCGAAATATCCAAGAAAATGTCTTTCGTTAAGTTTCGAAGGCGCTCGAAAAATTCCAAAATTTTCGGTATTGAAAAATTTTGCTTTTGAAAAAGTTGGCAAAACATCCTTTAATAAAAGTGCGGGATATATGTAGTTTTCGACGTGCAGATTCCAAAAATCAAGCGATTTTTTTTTGGTCTTGGTCTTGGAGCAAAATTTTAAAAATATTTGGTTTAAAATTCAATAAAAAAAATATCCAAAAAAACTCATGTTTCAATTGGCGATTGTGGAAAATGGTAGAAGTGACAAAGAAATTAGGCCGAAAGTAACTTCTAGAGGTCGAAATCTACAAATAAATGTGTTTCGTCAAGTTTCGAGAGTCGCCCAAATTATTGAAAAATTTTGAGTTTGAAAAAGTTGTCTAAAAATTCCGAAAAAATTCTGGGATATATATTTCGACGTGCTCATTCCAAAAATATAGTGTTTTTATGCTCGCGGAGCAAGGTTTGGGAAATATTCGAGTTGAAATGCAATTTTTTTTTAAATCCAAAAAAAAAAAACGTTTAAATGGACACTTCTGGAGAAACTGTAGGAGTTATGGAAGAATTTCGACCGAAAGTAAATTCCAGAGGTCGAAATGTCCAAGAAAGTGTCTTTCGTTAAGTTTCGAAGGCGCTCGAAAAATTCCAAAATTTTCGGTATTGAAAACTTTTACTTTTGAAACAGTTGGCAAAACATCCTTTAATAAAAGTCCGGGATATAGTTTTCGACGTGCTGATTCCAAAAATCTAGCGGTTTTTTTTTTGTCTTGTCTTGGAGCAAAATTTTAAAAGTATTTAGTTTAAAATTCAATTAAAAAAATATCCAAAAAAACTCATGTTTCAAGTGGCGATTGTGGAAAAATTGTAAGAGTTGACGAAGAAATGAGGCCGAAAGTAACTTCTAGAGGTCGAAATCTACAAAAAAATGTCTTTCGTTAAGTTTCGAGGGTCGTCCAAATTATTGAAAAATTTTGAGTTTGAAAAGGTCTAAAAATTCTGAAAAAATTCAGGGATATACATTTCGACGTGCTCATTCCAAAAATATAGTGTTTTTATGCTCGCGGAGCAAGATTTGGGAAATATTCGCGTTGAAATGCAATTTTTTTTTTATCAAAAAAAAAAACATTTAAACGGACAATTCTCGAAAAACTGTGGGAGTTATGGAAGAATTTAGACCGAAAGTAAATTCCAGTGGTCGAAATGTCCAAGAAAGTGTCTTTCGTTAAGTTTCGAAGGCGCTCGAAAAATTCCAAAATTTTCGGTTTTGAAAAATTTTGTTTTTGAAAAAATTGACAAAACATCCTTTAATAAAAGTGCGGGATATAGTTTTTGACGTGCTGATTCCAAAAATCTAGCTTTTTTTTATCTTGGAGCAAAATTTTAAAAATATTTAGCTTATAATTCAATTAAAAAAATTTCCAAAAAAAACTCATGTTTCAATTGACGATTGTGGAAAAATGGTAGGAGCTGACGAAGAAATGAGTTCGAAATCAACTTCTAGATATCGAAATCTACAAGAAAAAGTCTTTCGTTAAATTTCGAAGGCGCTCGAAAAATTCCAACATTTTTGATATATCTTTTTTTTTTTGTCTCGGAGCAAGATTTTAAAAATATTTGGTTGAAAATGCAATTTAAAAATATTTCAAAAAAAGTTTGGGAAAAATTTTGAGTTTGGAAAAGTTAAGTTTCGAAGGCGCTCGAAAAATTCCAAAATTTTCGGTACCTATTGCAAAATTTAGGTTTCGAAAAAAATTTCGACGTGCTGATTCCAAAAATTAGGGGTTTTTTGTCTCGGGGCAAGATTTAAAAAATATTTGGTGAAACATGCAATTTAAAAAAAAATTATCCAAAAAGCTCATGTTTCAATCCGCGATTCGGGAAAAATGATGGGAGTTAACCAAAAAATGAGGCTGAAATTAACTTCTAGAGGTCAAAATGTACAAGAAAATGTTTTTTCGAAGTTTCGAACGCGCTTGAAAAATTCCAAAATTTTCGGTATTGGAAAATTTTGGTTTTGAAAAAATCTTCCTAAAATCCTTTAAAAAAAAAGTGTGGGCTATAGAGTTCCACGTGCCGATTCCAAAAATATAGCGTTTTTATCGTCTCGAGGTGAGATTTTAAAAATATTTGGTTTGAAATGCAATTTTAAAAAAATCCAAAAAAAACTCATGTTTCAATTGGCCATCCTGGAAAAATGGGAGGAGTTAATAAACCAAAAGTAACTTCTGAGGGTCGAAATCTACTAGAAGATGTGTAGTTTCGAAGGTGATCGAAAGTATTGAAAAATTTTGGTTTTGAAAAAGTTGCCAAAAATTCTCAAAAAATTCTGAATTATAGATTTAGATGTGCTGATTCAAAAAATATGGCGTTTGCAAGGTTTTAAAAATATTTAGTTTGAAATGCAATTAAAGAAAAAAAAAAAAAACTGATATTTTGATGAATTATTTTGGAAAAATGGTATGGAGGTCGAATTGTACAAGATATCATTCGTTAAGTTTCGAAGATGATGGAACTATTCCCAAATTTTCCGTAAGGGGTTGGAAAATTTGGTTTTGAAAAATGTATCTAACAATCCCTAAAAATATGTGGATTTACATTTTGACGTGCAGATTCCAAAAATATAGCAGTTCTTTTCCTCTTGGGGCAAGATTTTAAAAATATTTAGTTTGAAATGTGTTTTTTTTTTATCCAAAAAAACTCATGGTTTTTGGCGATCCTGGAAAAATGGCAGGAGTTACCGAAGAAATAAGGCCATAAAGTAACTTCTGAAGATCGAAATCCACTAGAAAATTTTAAGTTTCAAAGGTGGTATTGAAAAATTTTGGTTTTCAAAAAGTTGCCTAAAAATTCTCAAAAAATTCTGAATTATACATTTCGACGTACGGATTCCAAAAATATAGCGTTTTTGTAGTCCCAGTGAAAGATTTCAGAAATGTTCACTTTGACCTGTAATTAAAAAAATAAAAAAAAACTGATATTTCGCCAAGTTATTTCGGAAAAATGGTAGGAGTAAAAGGGACAAATTTTGGTTTTGAAAAAATCTTTCA